ATGTTTTGTCCAGGATCCGTTGGAGACAAAGTTTCCGAGTCAGGAGCAGGTGACTCACTTCCAGAGGAACCTCCAGCAGTCGACCAGAATGGTGTTCAACTCTAGTACAGGTCTTCCTAGTCGATCTAGTCCGGTAAGTCACGATCTAGTGTGTTAAATCTCCAGCAGTCGTCCAGTATGGTGTTCAACTCTAGTACAGGTCTTCCTAGTCGATCTAGTCCAGTAAGTCATGATCTAGTGTGTTAGGTCATGATCTAGTGTGTTAAGTCATGATCTAGTGTGTTAAGTCATGATATAGTGTGTTAAGTCATGATCTAGTGTGTTAAGTCTCCAGCAGTCGTCCAGTATGGTGTTCAACTCTAGTACAGGTCTACCTAGTCGATCTAGTCCGGTAAGTCATGATCTAGTGTGTTAAGTCACCATCTAGTGTGTTAAGTCATGATCTAGTGTGTTAAGTCATGATATAGTGTGTTAAGTCATGATCTAGTGTGTTAAGTCTCCAGCAGTCGTCCAGTATGGTGTTCAACTCTAGTACAGGTCTACCTAGTCGATCTAGTCCAGTAAGTCATGATCTAGTGTGTTAAATCTCCAGCAGTCATCCAGTATGGTGTTCAACTCTAGTACAGGTCTACCTAGTCGATCTAGTCCGGTAAGTCATGATCTAGTGTGTTAAATCTCCAGCAGTCGTCCAGTATGGTGTTCAACTCTAGTACAGGTCTACCTAGTCGATCTAGTCCGGTAAGTCACGATCTAGTGTGTTAAATCTCCAGCAGTCGTCCAGTATGGTGTTCAACTCTAGTACAGGTCTACCTAGTCGATCTAGTCCGGTAAGTCATGATCTAGTGTGTTAAGTCACCATCTAGTGTGTTAAGTCATGATCTAGTGTGTTAAGTCATGATATAGTGTGTTAAGTCATGATCTAGTGTGTTAAGTCTCCAGCAGTCGTCCAGTATGGTGTTCAACTCTAGTACAGGTCTACCTAGTCGATCTAGTCCGGTAAGTCATGATCTAGTGTGTTAAGTCACCATCTAGTGTGTTAAGTCATGATCTAGTGTGTTAAGTCATGATATAGTGTGTTAAGTCAAGATCTAGTGTGTTAAGTCATGATCTAGTGTGTTAAGTCAAGATCTAGTGTGTTAAGTCATAATATATTGCATTAAGTCTCAAGCAATTGTCCATAAGTCATGATCTGGAGTGTGTTAAGTTATGATTCACAAGCTAGTCCAAAAAGTCACAAACTAGATCAATAAGTCACAAGCTAGTCCAATAAGTCACAAACTAATTCAATAAGTCACAAGCTAATCAAGTAAGTCAAAAGGTAGTTCAGGAAATCATAACTGTTTTATGGGTCTTTCTAGTCGATCTAGTCCAGTAAGTCACAAGATAGTCAAGAAATTATACGGTAAATGATTGACCACTTTTCAAGCAAGACCATAGGTAATTTATGAACATAGAATATGTTTTGAGGGCTATACTTTGTCAAATCACAACTCAGTCTTGACAAAACAGAATCACATTTATATGTATGCTCTGGATTGGTTCATGAGTTAGCCTAGTAAGCAGCTAAGTCATGATCTAGTGTGATGTCATAATCAAGTCCAGAGTAAGCAGCACTTTGTGGTGTAAAAGACAGTCCCCTTAACAAAATGAAGTCTACACTCTGTTTTGTAATCTTTTTTTACAGGCCCCTTTGAAGAGGAAGACGGTGGGAAGGTTTGACTACGATAATTCTCTCACCAACTCCAGGGCCATCAAAAAGTAGGTCAAAAACAAAGTATCAGTACATTAACTCCAGGACCATCAAAAAGTAGGTCAAAAACAAAGTATCACTACACTTACTCCAGGGCCATCAAAAAGTAGGTTATAAATACAAAGTATCAGTACACTTACACCAGAGTCACTAAAAAGTAGGATATATTATTAAAACAAAAAGTTTATGTACAGCAAAAGAAGTGTTGAATTAAAAGCGTTTTTTTTTCATTTGATGCAAGAGAGATCAGTCTTCTTTGTTTTTCACAGATTTTAGAAGGAAATCACAATTTCAGAAGACTTGTAAAAAAACTGAGTTTTAAAATCTTTTGAATAAAATTAAAGAAGAAATCTAGTACATAATATATACAGTGGCTGGAACGTAATTGTTGACAACTTACACGAAGGATCACATTACATGAATGATTCCGCACGATTAAGGCACGATTAAACCTGTTACACGAACAATCTTTCACGTTCACGATTCTACACGTTACACGATCTTGCACGATTGTTAACGCAAACGCACGTTTTTTCACTCAAAATAGTTCAAAATATTTAAGAACTAGTGCTAATTGTAACGGGAACCGTTACAGATGTTCCCCAAACGCTCCCCAACTCCCTTTTAGTGCCATATTCCCTGTTATATACAATATGTGAAAGCATTCAGTCCAAAAGTATTAAAAATCACTCATTCAAGTGTATTTCTAATTTCATTAGTTCCAAATGCACGTATGTGCGTGCACGTGCATGATGACCATACTTTCTTGTAGGAGTCCCATATGTTTATCTATATTCTAAATCCCATCCTGTTTGGTGGAAAATCAAGGGAGTTGTAGCCATTTCAAGTTTCAGCCAATCAGATTGCAGCACACGTGCATGCGCGTGATTTCATGATTTTTTTTTCTATATTGCATTGTAGGATATCCTTATGAATGATTATGTTTTTAATTTCAAAGCATTTCGTCAAAAAACAAAGGAGATATAGTCATTTAAAGTTTCAGCCAATCAGATCACAGCACACGTGTATGCGCATAATTTCTTGAATTCTTTGTATATCATATTGCAGAACATCCTAATGTATGACTATGTATTAAATTTCAAAGCATTTGGTCAAAAAACAAAGGCGATATAGTCATTTAAAATGTCAGCCAATCAGATTGCAGCACACGTGCATGCGCGTGATTTCATAAAATTTTTTCTATATCATATTGTAAGATATCCTAATTCATGACTATGTTTTAAATTTCAAAGCATTTCGTCAAAAAACAGAGAAGATACTGAGATTTTTGTTTTAGCCAATCAGAGCAAAGCACACGTGCATGCGCGTGAGTTCGTGCTAATTTGACAGTGTCACATTATGTACACTAAAAATATATCTTTATATAATGAGTTTCAAATCATTTCATTGAAAAATGTAAAAGTTATAGCTACATTAAGTATAAAAGTCATTTCAGGTGTTGCACGCGCACGCACGTGCATGCGTATGCGCGCAAAATGACCTTCGTTCCGCACACCTACACCACACACCCATTAACCCTAAAAAGGTTTTAGGTCAGTTGGGTGAACAGTTTCTGAGAACACTTCCGGACAAAAAAGTACCGGAGAACAAATAAGAAAAAAAAGAACTAGAGCAAAGCTCGTTGCAAAGCAACGAGTAGGTCTTCCGTCTTGTTTGACCGGAAGTTTATGCTACTTCCCGTGTGACCGGAAGTGTTGACGACGGACATAGAATTAATTTTTATGCTCCCAGTGACAGATGTTACCCAAAAACTTTTCAAGAACGGTAAAAATACGCGTTTTTCGACTACTTCCGGTTTGGCCGGAAATGACGTCGACGGACGTATTTTGACGACTCCATAAGATTAAGCTTGACATTTTGAACAACTTTGCTTCATAGACGTATTACAAATTCTCAATACTTTTTGAGATATAAAGGAAAAACTTTCGGCCCCTGTAGACCCCTAATTTTAGAAGCCAGCCCTTTTTCCGAGATATCATTTGGAAGAACTTAAAATTCTACACTTCTTTTGTTCTATATGTTTTAACAAAATATTTTCAAGTAAAAAGATATCGTAGAAAAAGTGCTAAAAATTTTGAAATTCGCGATAGGCCTATTTTCGGGCCATACCGAGCGCCGACGTGCAGCACTTCCGGTAAAAATAAAATACATTCCACAAATCTACAGACATAGGTCTACTAGACCTGAAAGTATCACGTGTCTATCTAAAGTCGTTTAGGAGAAATCATGCGGACAAACTGACCCTTAAAAAATCAATTTTGTGCTGATAACTCCGGACCGGAAGTGACGTCATCAAAACAGAAAAAAACGCATAAGGTTCAAGTGATGTTACATAAGTCCTGAAAGTTTCATGGAAATCCATCGAGCCGTTTTCGAGAAATCGCGTGCACAAAATCGGTAAGAAAAAAAAACAATAATAATAATAAAAGTGAAAAAGAAACCTAAGAATAACAAGAAGGTCTTCCACTGAAGACGGAAGACCTTAATAATAACTAGAAACGATTTCGTTGCTAGCAACGAGAGGTCTTCCGTCCGTTTCAGGAAAAGAACCTAAAATCAAGTTGAAAAAGTAATTAAAAAAATTTGGTCACAAAGGGGATTGAAACCAAGTCGCAAGCGTGAAAACCCAACGCCGTTTTTTCCTCTTTATTCCTAACAAACTTAAATTACGCGTTTGAGTCCACTGCTCTAAATGTACTTGAATAATTATACTTCTTCAACAAAACACCTGTCTAAGAATCATGAAAGGCGCGCCACAATTTATAATTTCGCGCCAAACGCCACAAGTTAATCTGCCCACCTTTTCTTTGGAATGTTTCATGAAATAGGTGAGATAGCTACAATAGAATAAAGAAAAAGGAACTTTCTTTAAGCCTAAATTTCGAGGTTTAGAAAATATATTTAACAAATTGTACATATTCTATATCTTATATAGATAAGTAACACAAAAGAATGAAATGGTAATCATTTTTAACTTTTTTTTAATAACCTGTTTATCCCCTAAGTGAACTAACCCGATTCTTTACACCTTCATGAAAAGGTAGAAATGGTTCAATGAAAGACTGTAGACATGTCTAGCCATTCGACGGTCAAGGAATCAGTTCAGATTTCATTTCTGTTCAATGTTCAAATTTAAATATCTTTGAGAAAAGAATGTTAATATAAACTCCATTAGACGATCTTATTTAAAAAAGGTTTTCTTATTTCTGTCTTCTTTATTAGTTTAATATGACTCAAGTGTGCATAGGAAACACAGTGGTTACGTTTGTGAAAATCTAATAAATTTTTAATACTGCTCTAAATATAGTTATGTATACAGTACACATGCAACAGTACACCTGTCTAAGAATCATAAAAGGCGGGCCACTATTCATAATCTGGCGAAAAACGCCACGAGTAAATATTCGTGCCTATCTTTTGGACTGATCTATCAAATAGGTGTGATAGCTACAATGAAATTAAATATAAAATTAAACAACTTCTTATCACCTTTTTTTATTTTGACGTTAAGAAAGTAAATTTAACACATTGCACACACGTATCTAGCCCATTTACACTAAAGCAGTAAAACGAAAATTAAGTTTGCAGATTGTCACTGAATTGCAGCATACTGATAGGTGAAAGTCCATGTAGTTTTTTTACTTTCATTTATCATTTAGTAAAACGCTCAGCTGCCTCCATAAGCCCCTACTCGCAAAATGGCGGAGTTGACAGAGACAGCCGCCATCTTGGACCCGCTTCAGATTTTCAAATATTAATATCTAGATTTCTGATTGACCAATATGCAAACAACTTATATAGTAAGCATCAGTAGAAGGGTCTCTATCAATATTCCAAAAATCAATAAAAAATATTGAAAAGCAAAAAAGTTAGAAAATACGATTTTTTCAATTCACTTCTCCTAACGACAGGAAGTACTGACGACGAACGAAAGTTCACGTCCTGGATGGTAAATATCACAATCTATAATCCCTGAAAGTTTCATGTTGATATCTTATACCGTTTTTGAGTTTAATCACGGACAAAATGTGATTTTAATTTCAGAAAATTGTCCGCAACTTGGCACCGGAAGTAAGTTTCCAAAAAATTTCTCGGATATAATAAATTCATGTTACAACACATCCGTTCTGAAAATTTCATGTAATTTCATGCAGTAGTCTTCGAGAAATCGCGTGCACAAAATTAGAAAGTCAAAAAAATAAGAATAATAATAATAACTAGATGCGATCTCGTTGCGAGCAACGAGAAGGTCTTCCGTCCGAGTTGTAGAGATATAATTAAACGAGCAATATCTGAAAATTATAATTTTCGATGAAATTCATCAAAAGCAGGAATTTATCGTAATATCCGATTATCGTATTATCGGAATGACTAATACAGCGTAAAATAGAATTCCGGTTAATCTGATCGACTTATATACCGACAAATAGGAATGTTCTAGAATAATGACGTCACATGCGCAATTAGGATGCGCGTACGGTTCAAATATTCAAAATGGAGGATATCAATATATAAGCTGTCATATCATTGGTTGACCAATCACAGCCATCGTTAAATGTCCACCATTGTAACTAAATATAAGTTGATTACTTCTAAAACGCGAGGACATGTTCTGTCAAAACAGAATGCTAATATACCTGAGCTAATAGTTTCTGAATTAGTGCATTAAAAATCACAAAAAATATACCGTTGGAAACCTCTCAAAAAGATCTATATGATAGACTGATCTATCGAACAGGTGTGATAGCTTCAATGAAATTAAATATTAAATTAAACAACTTCTTATCGCCTTTATTTGTTTCGACGCTAAGAAAGTAAATTTAATACATTACACACACTTATCTACCACAATTACACTAAAGCAGTAAAACGGAAATTAAGTTTTAAGATTGTCAGTGAATTGCAGCGTACTGAAGGGTGAAAGTCCATGTAGTTTTTTTACTTGTCATGTATCATTTAGTCAAACGCTCAGCTGCCTCCATAAACCCCTACTCGCGAAATGGCGGAGTTGACAGAGACAGCCGCCATCTTGGGTCCGCTTCAGATTTTCAAATATAAATATCTAGAGTTCTGATTAACCAATGTTCAAACAAATTATATAGTAAGCATTGATCAAAGGGTCTCTATTATCATTCCAAAAATGAATAAAAAATGTTGAAAAACAAAAAAGTTGAAAAATACGATTTTTTCAATTTGCTTCTCCTGACGACAGGAAGTATAGACGACGAACGAAATGTCGCGTCCTGGATGATAGATATCACGATCTATTATCCCTGAAAGTTTCATGTTGATATCTTTTACCGTTTTTGAGTTTAATCGCGGACAAAATGTCATTTTAATTTCAGGAAATTGTCCGTAACTTGGCACCGGAAGTGAGTTTCCAAATTTTCTCTCGGATATAATAAATTCATGTTACAACACATCTGTCCTGAAAATTTCATGTAATTCCATCCAGTAGTCTTTGAGAAATCGCGTGCACAAAATTAGAAAGTCAAAAAAATAAGAAAAATAATAATAATAATAATAATAATAAGAAACAATAGAATCACTATAAGGTCTTACGTGAAGACGGAAGACCTTAACTAGAATAATGACGTCACATGCGCAATTAGGATGCGCGTACGGTTCAAATATTCAAAATGGAGGATATCAATATATAAGCTGTCATATCATTGGTTGACCAATCACAGCCATCGTTAAATGTCCACCATTGTAACTAAATATAAGTTGTTTACTTCTAAAACGCGAGGACATGTTCTGTCAAAACAGAATGCTTATAGATATGAGCTAATAGTTTCTGAATTAGTGCATTAAAAATCACAAGAAATATACCGTTGAAAACCTCTCAAAAAGATCTATATGATAGACTGATCTATCGAACAGGTGTGATAGCTTCAATGAAATTAAATATTAGATTAAACAACTTCTTATCGCCTTTATTTGTTTCGACGCTAAGAAAGTAAATTTAATACATTACACACACTTATCTACCACAATTACACTAAAGCAGTAAAACGGAAATTAAGTTTTAAGATTGTCAGTGAATTGCAGCGTACTGAAGGGTGAAAGTCCATGTAGTTTTTTTACTTGTCATGTATCATTTAGTCAAACGCTCAGCTGCCTCCATAAACCCCTACTCGCGAAATGGCGGAGTTGACAGAGACAGCCGCCATCTTGGGTCCGCTTCAGATTTTCAAATATAAATATCTAGAGTTCTGATTAACCAATGTTCAAACAAATTATATAGTAAGCATTGATCAAAGGGTCTCTATTATCATTCCAAAAATGAATAAAAAATGTTGAAAAACAAAAAAGTTGAAAAATACGATTTTTTCAATTTGCTTCTCCTGACGACAGGAAGTACAGACGACGAACGAAATGTCGCGTCCTGCATGATAGATATCACGATCTATTATCCCTGAAAGTTTCATGTTGATATCTTTTACCGTTTTTGAGTTTAATCGCGGACAAAATGTCATTTTAATTTCAGGAAATTGTCCGTAACTTGGCACCGGAAGTGAGTTTCCAAATTTTCTCTCGGATATAATAAATTCATGTTACAACACATCTGTCCTGAAAATTTCATGTAATTCCATCCAGTAGTCTTTGAGAAATCGCGTGCACAAAATTAGAAAGTCAAAAAAATAAGAAAAATAATAATAATAATAATAATAATAAGAAACAATAGAATCACTATAAGGTCTTCCGTGAAGACGGAAGACCTTAATAATAATAAGAAACAATAGAATCACTATAAGGTCTTCCGTGAAGACGGAAGACCTTAATAATAATAAGAAGAAACCGAGTAAACACAATATGTTCCCAAACTCCGTTTGGGGAACATAATTAATATTTTCAAAACGAAATAAAGCTTAATACTTATTTAAATTTCAAAGAATTATCAATATTATTTTAAAAAAAAATGGAAAATGATATTTCCGTAACTAAATATATGCAAGACTGAATATTTCAGATTAAAAAATATTTCAGATTAAAAATAACTATTTCTAAGGTAATTCTCGGATCAAAGAAAACGGATTTTGTTCGTTCTTTTAGATTAGACGATATACATGTATGTGGGTCGTATAATTTGATTGAATTGGATATCATGATATGCAGATACGATTCAACAAAAATGGCAGCATTGAATGACTTAATTTTTAATAACAAATCCTTATGTTTCCATTTATTCAATGTCTGATAAACTTGCCAATTATTCAACTTTTTTATTTGCAGAAATTTAAATTAATTAGTTTCAAACAAGCTCAAGAGATAAACACAGATAAACAAAACTCCCAAAAATCATGCCGTGTGCATGTATATTTGTCGACTACATGTAACTATACAATGTAGCAATTCAAGCATTGAGAAATGTTTATTTCTTTGTAAAAAAAATTATTTTCAATGAATTGATTTCAAGATTTTCTTGACCACAATAAGAAATAAATAATAATAGTTTAATTTCAATTGTATCAAGCTATTTCATTGGCTGAATCATTCAGAGGAACATATAATATTTTGGATAACATAACTTGCCTACGTCACAAGAGTTACGTCAAAAATGTATTACTCCGCTTGACGTTACTTTTAAAATAATGCTCAATTTAAAGCCTTTTTCCGGAGGAAATATTGTCTCATTGTCTACACTGAAATTAAATTATAAGGATTGAAGCTAATTTCAACTTATTTTATCGGATATAACAAAACTTGGGGCAGTTTACGCTTTCTTATAAACCACTTCGTGGTTTATATAGCATAAACTGCCCCAAGTTATGTTCTATCGGATAACATAAGTTGAAATTAGCTTCATTCCTTAAATCAAATTAGATTTTTCAGAAAGGCGTAAGAGATCTAAGTATGGTTTATCACAATATTAATTGCGCTATTTGACGAGAACTAAATATTGTACGACTTACTATATTGCTTGTTTACGAGCGATAATTAGTTCGTTCTGCATTCTATTATGTAAATTGCGCTTTTTCACTCTTATTTGATTTTATTTAATTAAGAAAAACAAATAAGGGAAATGCTTATTTTAAAAATAACATTCCGATAAAAACTTACAAAACGAAATTTACACGATTCTAAACGCCTGATCTCGCACGATTAAAAACGCACACGATTGAGTCTGATACATGAACGATCTTTCACGTTAAACGAACGATCACTCACAATACACGAATGATTCTACATGATTGGTTTGTCAACAATGACGTTCCAGCTACTGTATAGTAATTTTTGCCTTGTTTTAATTTTCGCCTTTTTACACTAATCTTACAAAAAATTTTGCCCAGTAATAATTTTGTTTTAGAAGCTATACTGTATTCTTTGAATTTGCCTTGTTTTAAATTAGCCCAAATGTGGGTGAGTGAAAATGAAATGGGTGCGAAAATTTCCCTGTATACAGTAATCTCCACATATAATGCTTGTTTATTGGTTGTATTGCATTGAATTAAAATTAACAACAGGAAATAATTGACTTTACAGTGCCCTCTCCTGTTCTAAACTGGCTTTGGAGTCCGAGAGTTCAAGGTCATCTGTCACGCCTGACCAGTCACGAACACTCAGTACATCTGCACCGGCCTCAACAAACTGCCTTCTGGGAAACTTCGAGGTCAGAGGGTCATTGAAATGGTTATAAATAGAATGTTATGTTATTTTTTTTAAATTGTTTTATTTAATGAAGGAAGCTAATTTCAACTTATGTTATCCGATATAACATAACTTGGGGCAGTTTACGCTTTATAAACCGCAAAGCGGTTTATAATAAAGCGTAAACTGACCCAAGTTTTTCGACTAGCTGTGACGTCATATGACGTCACAAAGCTCGTCAGAGCTTACAGAGACAGCCGAGCGTCTGTTTGAAACTATAGAACTAGTGCATCTTTAGTTGAAAAACTTTGCAGAGTTATTTCTTGTTTCTTTGAATAATTTCTACAAACTGAAAGCCTGATATATGCTTTATTATTTATTCGGCAATATTCGCTCAAAGGAAATTTGGTAGTGCAGGGTTTCACAACAAAATTTGCTTGACGTGTGTAGAAAATTTCCAATTTCCTCTGTTCTTACATGTAGTCTATTGAGCTCGCTTTGCGAGCATCGTTTCGAGACGTTTGCTGCACTCGCTATAATTCGTGTTTGATGTTTCTTCATTTTTTCAATATTATTTACAGTCTCTTTAGACATATATATGAGAGACTTTGAAATAATATTTACTTTACAGGAGTCAGTGCTGAATGGTCGGATTGAGCCAATCGGAGCAGTGGAGGGATTTACCTGTGATATCGGAGCGGGGGGATCCTTCTGTCCTAAACACGTGTCACTTCCTGTTACCGCCTACTTCTTCCAGTTATCGGATGACAACGCCCCCTCACCTTATCTCGTAAGTTACAGAACACAACAATATCATGTGTACACAACAGAACACAACAATATCATGTGTATACAACAGGACACAACAATATCATGTGTACACAACAATATCATATAGTTACATTTTCAGAAATCTTTCTTAGATGAACCTATATATTGAAGAAAAATTTTGTTCAAATCTTTGTGAATGTTATTTGGGAGTCAGAGGTCATAGCACAATCGAATCACAGAGCAAGGTGATATTTCTGTCACTGTGCAACTTATTTTGGAAGATCTCGAAGGAACAACAAAAAAGATAAAATAAAAAAGAGTATGGATATTTTTCACTTGCGAGATGTAGGATAAAAATTCTATCTAATATGTGAATAAGGTCTTGAATGCTCTAATAACCAAAAAACAGCGGGCGACGGTAGCAGAAACTATTTTCTAAAGGAAAATTAACAGAAAAATGTGTCATTTTGAAGTTTTTCTGCATTAATTTAAAAATGTACCAAATTGATGACGTCATATTTCAAGAAAGGCTCTTCTTCATGCCATATTCTTAAATAATTTATCAGATTCATCTACTCAACTATTGCTAAAGCCAATTTCATAACTTTTTAGGAATGATATATTTTATATATTATAAGTCATAAACAATTATACTGTTAAAAGAGTTTACTTGGAAATGAATTTTTAGTTAGTATGTGATCAAATCTATTTTACAGGGTCATATTAATTTGGAAAGCTTGGGAAAGAAGGGCTACCATATACCAAAGTGTGGGACGGTGCAAGTGGTACGTATAACAACCTTCTGTACTGAATTCATATCACTGTATCATTATATAAAATATTCATGTTAATGGAAATAAAATACTGGCATTTTTCTTCCCCAAAAAAGTCAAATATTAACCTAGAAGAATGAAATTTGTCTAAAGTATTTTCAAAAGGAGACCGAACATTTTCCTTTTTTTTTTTGCAGACTTTATTTAACCCAAACAAGACAGTCATCAAAATGTTTGTCGTCTTGTATGATCTCAGTGATATGCCACCTCAGTGTCAAACATTCCTACGACAGAGAACTGTGTACATGCCAGTGGAAGACAACAGCTCTCAGCCATCATATCTCAGATACCTCATACATCTCAGGTGAGATAATTAACAGATACCTCATACATCTCAGGTGAGATAATAAACAGATACCTCATACATCTCAGGTGAGATAATTAACAGATACCTCATACATCTCAGGTGAGATAATTAACAGATACCTCATACATCTCAGGTGAGATAAAAAACATCATACATCTCAGGTGAGATAAATCTCAGATACCTCATACATCTCAGGTGAGATAAAAAAAAACATCATACATCTCAGGTGAGATAAATCTAAGATACCTCATACATCTCAGGTGAGATAAATCTCAGGTACCTCATACATCTCAGGTGAGATAATTCACAGATACCTCATACATCTCAGGTGAGATAAATACCCCATACAGGTGAGATAAATCTCAGATACCTCATACATCTCAGGTGAGATAAAAAAAACATCATACATCTCAGGTGAGATAAATCACATATACCTCATACATCTCAGGTGAGATAATTCACAGATACCTTATACATCTCAGGTGAGATACTTAACAGATACCTCATACATCTCAGGTGAGATAACAAACAGATACCTCATACATCTCAGGTGAGCCAATTCACAGATACCTCATACATCTCAGGTGAGCCAATTAACAGATACCTCATACATCTCAGGTGAGATAAAAACCTCTACATCTCAGGTGAGATAATTAACAGATACCTCATACATCTCAGGTGAGATAAATACCCCATACAGGTGAGATAAATCTCAGGTACTTCATACATCTCAGGAAAGATAAATACCCCATACATGTGAGATAAATATCAGATACCTCATACAACTCAGGTGAAATAAATACTAGTAACCCATACAGGTAGGATAAACCTCAGATACCTCATACATCTCAGGTGAGATAAATACCCCATACATCTCAAGTGAAATAGAATTGAGATTTTTATTCATGCATGAGAAATTTTTGTGAGGTTCACAAATATTTTTCGCTGTAAACAGGATCTTAAGTTTATGTGTTAACAACAAATCCAAAATAGGTTTGATCTTGAAAATTAATTGTTGGGAGATATTTTTCTCCAAGTCAATTGAAAAAATAATATGTCAACAATAAAAGCTGGTTAACAGTACCTAATACCTATACCTTTCAGTCTGAGGTGTTGTATTTTTTATCCCAGGTGATTTTTATCGTAAAATATACATGATTTACATTTACCTTAGAATTATCTAATATATCATCTCATTGTATTTTCTTCTGTTTTTTTTTTTAGGTTTGCCAGTTCTAAATCTGGGAAGATATTCCTTCATACAGACATTCGTGTGTTGTTTGCCAGAGACAAGTTTGAATTTGACCCAAATGTCGCCAAATACGAACTCCGGTCCTTCACAGAAGCTCCTTCTAACCCCAAGTTCTCTCCCCGGAGGTGATGTTGGCCTAAAATAGGTCAAACTAGGTCAAATTTAATATAAATTAGGTCAAACCTGGTAATAAGCTAGGTCAAATCTTGTGTAAACTAGGTCAAATCCAATATAAACCAAGTGAAATCTTGTGTAAACTAGATGAAATCTGGTTTTAAACTAGGTTAAATCTGGATTTTACAAAACCATTATTTCACAGAGGTCATGTCATAAGCTTTTGTTAAGACTGTTTATGTAGCTCAGATCTAGTTATTTTGTTGTTGACATACCTAATTTAATTTAAGGCTTGAACTAGGTCAGTGTATCTAGGTTTTTCCTGGTTATGTATGGATGTTAACGTCTATATGGTATATATGTCATATTTTTTGAAAAAAAAATCATAGATAATAATCTGTGTGTGTGTTGGGTTGATATTTATTTATATATGAGAATCAGTGAGCGTTTGATTTTTTTTGTTACGAGTAGTAGGGTTTATTGTTTTACATCTGCCATCTCGGAATACAAAGTAACAGATTTGTAATATGCGCATGTGAGTTAAGGCTATATATAGAGGTTTCTATGCAAAATATCTAATTAAATTCCTTAATTACTCTACCTTACGCACAGAAAATGCTATGACTTGTTTTTTAATACATTCTTAGGCACCCACGATATGCGATAGCCAGTACACATTATGACGTCATATTATGACGTCATCGACCTGTACTACACAAGTTTAAAAGAAACATCAACAAAATCGCTTCGGCGCAAGGGCATACCTTACTTTGTTTTACAAAAACAATGTATAAAAAGAAGCAGGATATTCATAGGATTTAAGATATTGCTGCACAAATGTCGGCAATGCAATTGTTTAGTTACTAATTCTGCATTTTTAAGTTTAAACAGGGTAAAAAATTCACAGTCCAGTGTAAGTTTTCTAAAAATGTTATCGATTGCACAAATGCATAGGATTTGTGCAGCAATTTTTTTTAATTTTTAGAATATTCTTGTTAATATTATACATTATTTATTTTAAATTAGATAGGATATGCCCTTGCGCCGACGTGATTTTGTTGATGTAATTTAATACTATGAATGGAAGAGAACAATGACGTCATAATATGACGTCATAATATACACTTGCATTAATAAATTGTGGGTACTAAGTATGTATAAGAAAATCAATTTGAATCTTCTCTGTACATAAAATATACAAATTATGAATTTTTATTAGCTCATTTGCATAGAAATATCCATATTTAGCCTTAACTCACTTGCGTGCAAGATATACTACATATTAACTTTGATGTTAGTGCTGAAAACCTATACCTGAAATCTATCAAAAATTGTGCCTATGTTAACTTATAGTTACATGTATCAATGTATCCCTATGCATTGAAAAGAAAAGTGATGGTTCCAAGTTCTTACATATTTTTGAATAGTTCCAAAACAATGTATAAACAAAAGTAAAACAAGTACAAAAAAATGATCTTCCCCTTCTCTCTCTCTCTCTCTCTCTCTCTCTCTCTCTCTCTCTCTCTGTACACAAAATGACAAAGTTTATATGTTAAATGATACCTTGTTTTATATGACGTCTATGGTGATTTTTGTTTGATTGTCACATGATTTTTGATTTGAGTTTGTAATTTTATTGCTTATTATATTATTAATATGTTTGATGACTGTGTAAACATTTTTTCTGATATAAACTTGTGTAGAAATACAATGTTCTTAGTTGTCATTCTGAGCACTTTGATTAGTCAAGGTTTTGTAAAACACATCCATTATACTTTTGCATGGCAATTTCAAGCCCATTTATCAAGAACAACTTCTTATTAAAAAAAATAATTTATAGTTTTATACATTTTAATTGCTTCAAAACTCAATCTTGTATCTTCAATTTTGAAAAATATGCATATACAGTAACATTTCAAAAAGAGTCTTATTCTTTTAAGTCTAACTTTGAAATATTTTATTTAAACAAACATCCACCACTTTTACTAGAGTTAAAGCCATATATGGCGTATGTGCAATGAAAATTATTAGACTAAAATTATAAGAACTTATTATTTGTATCATTACTTTATATAAAGATAGAACTTTTCCGTAAATTGTAAAATCTAAGTCAATTGCGTTATAAAGATATCACAATTTAAATTTGATTCTCGGAATTTTCTCTGTATCGGAAGAAAATACAAAAGATTTAAATAACACATTACATAGAAGATAAAATTGTATTTTTAGACGAGAAAAGGTGTTCTCAACGTGTTCAGAGTTATATGAAAAGCTTTAATTTGAATGTATTAACTATATTTCTTTACTTAATTTTGTATTTTTCAAAAATATATATTTTTTGATCAGTTACGCCATATATGGCTTTAAAATTTTTATAAGTTAGAAATATCTGTGAGAACCATATTTTAAACATACGTGGCACAATTAGCTGTGTATCAGAAAGAATTTCATCAAATGAGCGACATGTACAGGGTTATACAATGACTTCACATCAGATACAAATAGGTGGCTCATTTCATTGTCCCAGAACGTACCCTTTAATTTGAAAACTTGAAACTGTAAAAGAATAATCTACGAGGCATATGTCGTATTATGTATCAAGTGTATGATTATCAAATTAAACATTTTACAGTTGTATCCATTGATCACTAATTAAATGTAAATTTCATAATTCTCTTTTCGACTCGACAATAGATGATTTTAAATCATCTGTTTCATGTAGAAACTTGAACACTTTTATTGTGGGACTGTCCTCCTGTCCCACATAGAGGTTGTGTTTGTCGTCCACACACAGAGCCGTGGGATGACGTAGTCCATGTTCTTCTGTCAGTAGGAGACGCAGGAACTGACCGTCCTGATCCAGAAGATGGACACTGGAATTCGATACATCACACACCAGTACTTGTCCAAGGATATCGGTACAGATACCATGGGGATCAAAGTAAGACTGGTGCTGACCTCTGTAATAAAACCGATGTTGTCCTGATTTATCCATCACCACTACTGCTTCTCTTTCAATGTCAGAGACCCATATGTCTCCATTCTTGTTTTCTGTGATGTATGTTGGATAGCAAGTCCCACACTTCAATTTCATGCGTTGTACCCCCGTCCAATCAAACTTCACCACTCCAGATATATAGCCAACCAGTATGTCGCCGTCAATGCGGGAGGAGTGGATACAAGTTAAACGCCTAGATTGTTCGAAGAGTGTAGTGATAGTTCCATCTAACGTCATCTTCTTCACCTTATATCCATTTATAAATATCAGGTCGCCGTCCGCTGTGACGGAGTGAGCTCCTGTTGGTGGATAACTTGTAACAATTTTCAGTTCCTGTATTACGTGTCCGGTGGAGTCCAACTGTAGGAGACGTCTGCGATCACTGATCCACAGTCTGTCTGACGTCACACAGGAGATATGAAAAACTTCGTCAACTCCGGGTACCCTTATTCTGGACGTAGATTCGGATTACCTAAAATCAGTGTAAGCTAACCTGAGCTAAATGGCTCAAGGGAGCTTTTCTGATCACATTTGTCCGTCGTCCGTCCGTCTGTCTGTCTGTCCGTCTGTTAATTTTTCGCATTTTTGACTTCTTCTCATGAACCGCTGGGTAACTTTTTACCAAACCTGGTATATAGCATCCATCGGTAAACGGGAGTTTAAATTAGTAATAAAAATGAAGAGACAAGATCTCCTACAAGAGGAGACAATTAAAAAAAGACCAAAATTGGTCTCAGGAACCACTGCGTCAGGAAAGCTGAACTAATGTGGAAGCATCCTGGGATAGCGTAGATGTTGTATTGTTAAAACAAGACCCCTGGGGGTTGGGCAGGACCATAAAAAAGAGTCATAGTTTTACATAGAAGTATATGGGAATAAGATTTTAAAATCTTCATATCAAGGACCACTGGGCCAGAAAACTGAGATTTATTTGGAAGCATCCTGGGGTACTGCAGATACTAAATTGATATGATCACGTCCCCCGCATCGTCGCAAACCACGGCCAAAATGTACGATCCTCTCCCATATGGAGAGAGCTATATGCGGACTCCGGACCGTGGCTTGAGACGATGCGTCCCCCCGGGGTGGGGGGGGGGGGTGGGCAGGACCAAAATAGGGAATCAAAATTTTACATAGAAATATATAGGAATAAACTTTTAAAATTTCTTCTCAACACCCACTAGACCGGAAAAACTGAACCTTATTTGGAAGCATCCTGCGGTAGTGTATATTTTGAATT